AAGGGAGAGTAGTATTTAAAAAGACATTTTAGAGAACAATGGGTAGACTCTTTCACGGTGAACCAAGCTGTTAACATTACATAGCACATGTGCTTTCGGTACAAGGTCACATTTTGCCTCTTATATTGAGGGCCTGCCGGTTTGGTGTGAGAGATCACACACAGGGCCAGGCAACAGAATTCGGCTTGCAGGCAGCCATGGTAAGCCACAGTCTTTTGGCTTCTTTAACCTTCATTACACGTGGGAGTGAATGTCACCTTAATAAAATTCCCCTATTTCAACCAGGTGACCATGAATGATATCACTCTCCTGAGGATAACACAGAGAGATAAAGAACGGATGTTGCTTGAATGCATTCCAATAGCTGTACTGGCCGCGAATGCATCCCAAGTCTTTAGGGCAAATTAATCATTAAACACGCTTGCTTTTAAACCATGTATTTTATTTACAAAGGTGCCTTCTCTGCCTTCAAGGTCCAGGAGCCCGCCTTGCGAGGGTTGGGAGGGTATTGTCTCCAGGGTGATAAACAGTTCCTGGCTGTTGGGGAGAACGGTTTCTCCGCTTGCCTGCTTTGCGCTACCCTCCTCCTCCTCATCATCATCATCTTCCTCGTCCCCAAAATCCTCATCCCTGTTGCGTGAGATTCCCCCCTTGCAGGAGTCCATGAACAGGGGTGGGGTAGTAGTGGGGCACCCCCTAGAATGGCATGCAGCTCATCATAGAAGCGGTATGTCTGGGGCTCTGACCCGGAAAGGCCGTTTGCCTCTTTGTTTTTTTGGTAGGCTTGCCTGAGCTCCTTAAGTTTCACGCGGCACTGCTGCGGGTCCCTGTTATAGCCTCTGTCCTTCATGCCTTTGGAGATTTTTTCAAATATTTTGGCATTTTGTCTTTTGGAATGGAGTTCTGATAGCATGGATTCGTCTCCTCATACAGCGATCAGATCCAGTACCTACCGTTCGGTCCATGTTGGAGCTCTTTTGCGATTCTGGGACTCCATGGTCACCTCTGCTGATGAGCTCTGCACGGTCACCTGTGCTGATCAGCTCACCACGCTGGCCAAACAGGAAATGAAATTCAAAAGTTCGCGGGGATTTTCCTGTCTACCTGGCCAGTGCATCTGAGTTGAGAGTGCTGTCCAGAGCGGTCACAATGGAGCATTCTGGGATAGCTCCCGGAGGCCAATACCCTCAAACTGCATCCACACTACCCCAAATTTGACCCGGTGATGTCGATTTCAGTGCTAATCCCCTCGTTGGGGAGGAGTACAGAAATCGATTTTAAGAACCCTTTAAGTCGACAAAAATGGCTTCATCGTGTAGATGGGTGCAGGGTTAAATCAATCTAACATTGCTAAATTCGACCTAAACTCGTAGTGTAGACCAGGGCAGAGAAACATATACTGAGATTTTGCTGTGAATTGAAATCTATGCTTATGTACCTCAAGTAATTTGAATCAATAATAGGGAGTGTTTTTGACAGAGTTTACAACTGGCAGAATTTGATTTTTTTAAACAATTTTGATGGATAATGTCAATGTTTATTTTTAAAGTATTTTTATTTTTATCAATCAGTTTTCACAGTTGAGGGAAATTATGTGGCATGGCAGACAATTATTTAATGACAATAGAGCTTGAGATCCAAAAAGTTAAAGCTTTATAAACCATTAAAACACAAGTTTTCAACATCACACCAAAAATACAAAGTAAATATCCTTAAATCAAACTCTAATTAGTTCTCAAGCAGCATTTTTCTTACTTTGTCTATCTATACATTTCAGTTATCAATAGAAACATTTTGTTGGTTTTCTGTGTATGGTGAAATTGACATTTACCAATAAAAATCTAATCCTTCCAAATCTAGCTCCAACAAATATAACATCGGAGACTGAAAATGAAAAATTGCCTGATTAAAAATAAAGAAGTCTCCAGAGGTTTTACTCTGAAACAAGAGAGGAGATTTTCAGATAACACACACTAAATACTAATAGGACCAGATGAAATTTTGAAACCCTCTAGCATTCCATACCAAGAGTTTTCTGCCTCTTTTTGAATTCTTTTAAATAAGATCTAGGTTACATTTATTATTTGTAGTGCAGTAGTTCTTTAAAGGCCCAGTCAGGGATCTGGGCCTCATCGTGCTAGGTGTCATACAAACATAACAACAAACAACAACAAAAACAGGTGGATACAACAGACAGAATGGGGAAGATCAAGTTAACAATGAGACAGTTATGCTAAGTGATACACAATGATCACAGCAGTGTTCATACAATGAAGAGTGACTCTCCTATATCATATTTTCTTTCTATCGGATCTAAATCAAATCTGTACCAGATTTTTCTTTCACATCATGCTATATATAAGCTCATTTAAATTAATGTTGCCCACTTCATGCCTACACTGCACACATAATATGCCTCCCTAAAACACAGTCTTCGAACTCTAGACTTTCAGCTCAATGAATTGTTAGGAAAACAAACTCTCATATCTGCAGTCTCCAAAATTACAAGGAGCCTATATAAACACTGAATCCTTACAGTACATTCCTCGTGTTCTGTTTCCATTCTATATGGTTCTATACGGTGATCCCAATTTAAACAATGGCAGTCCTGTAGGAAAACATCTCACACTGAAGCTTCCAAGATGATAGTAGATAGTTTATCTAATATATCAGTCCTGGTCTCCCGCCTTCATGATCTGTAGTACGCCCTTCTGTTCTAGTCTTGGGTTCCCCAAACAGCTTTGCCAATGCACCTCAGTTTTGACCTGCAGCACCTCTGCTACTCCATCCTGAGCAAAGACTTTGTGAGATTAATAGATTTTAAGGCCAGAGAGGACCACTGTGATTGACTCCTTTGACCTCCTGTTTAAGACAGGCCATAGGATTTCATTGTATTAATTCATGCGTCAAATTCAAGGGCAGTTTTTTAAAGGAAAACAAACACCCAATTTTGATTTTAAAGTTTCCAGTGGTGCAGAATCTATCACAAACCTTGTTCCAAAGGTTAATTACCCTCATTACTTAAAATTTGTGCCTTATATCTAATCTGAATTTGTCTAGCTTCAACTTCTAGCCATTGGTTCATATTATATCTTTGTCTGCTAGATTGAAGAGCCCACTATTACCTGATTTGTTCCCCATGGAAGCATCTATAGATTGATCAAGACATCCCTTAACCTTCTCTTTCATAAGCTAAATAGATTGAACTCCTTAAATCTTTCAATATAAAAACATGTTTTCGAATCCTTCAATCATTCTTGTGGCTCTTCTGTGAACCTTCTCCAATTTATCAACATCCTTCTTTTAACTGTGGACACCAGAACTGGACACAGTATTCCAGCAGTGGTGGCAGCAGTGCCACATATATAACCTCCCACCTTCCTACTAGAGATTCGCTTGTTTATACATCCAGTGACATTAGCCCTTTTGGCCACAGTCTTTACACTGGGAGCTCATGTTCAGCTGATTCTCTTCCAGGAACCCCAGGTCTGTTCCCAGGATACAGTTCCCATTCTGTAAGTATGGCCTGCCTTCTCTGCTCCTAGTCTAGTCTTGGGTCCCAGTCCTGCAAAGACTTATGCATGTGCTTAACTTTACACACTGTGAGAAGTCCCATTTTTCAACGGGACTACTCACAAAGTTAGACAGATGCATATGTTTTTGCAGGATCAGGGCCAGGCCCAGCTCCAGGGCTTTTGCCACCCCAAGTGGCAGGGAAAAAAAAAGACCACAATCGCGATCGGTGGCAGCTCCACTGCGCTGCTTTCTTCTTCAGCGGCAATTCGGCGGCAGGTCCTTCCCTCCAAGAGGGATAGGGACCCTCCATCAAATTGCCGCCGAAGAGCCTGACATGCCACCCCTTTCCCTTGGCCGCCCCAAGCACCTGCTTGCTCAGCTGGTGCCTGGAGCCAGCCCTGATCAGGGCCTTCGACTGTAAGATCTTCAGGGCAGGGTCTGCCTTTATTTTATGTTTGTGCAGAGCTGAGAACAGCACTTAAATAATGAATGACGATGTTTATGTGATCTGTACCGTGGGACTTTCATCAAGACTTGTAAAGAAATCTTTTCCATTCACAGTTTGATCTTTATATGCTGCTATTAGGCCCTGCAGTCACTATTGTGTCTCTTTTGTCTGCCCACACTCCTTTCAAAGATCACCAATTCCACGGCCTCCCTAGATTCCCCTAAGCCTTTTGGGGGGTAGGGGTTGCTTTCATGGAACCCAGAAAGTCCAAGCACATGCGTAAGTTTTTGCAGGATTGGGGCCCAAGACTAGACTCCTAAAAGCACCAGAATTTCTCCTCTAACCAGAGAGCAGATACAGCCCCTTGGATGATAATACCAACAAGGAAACCAAGAGGAAATGTACAATCATCTGTAGGTTGCAAACCAAAACACATTTTATGAGTCCTTTGTCATAAAATGTTTTGTCAAAACACTTGAAAATCAAACTGAAAGGTTTCATTTCTGTATCACCGACACATTCCGTTCATCTGCTTGACTTTTCAATTCACCCCACAATTTTGAAAAATGTCATTTTTGGTTCGACCAAAACAATTCCTTCCCCCTGCCCTAATTTTTTAAAACTGCTTGGAAACTGAAAAGTCTCTTCTTCAGCCAGGTCAGTCACAAGGCCACCTTTCTCTAGAGCAGTGTTTCTGAACCTTTTTGATACCAGGGACCAACTTGCTGCCTCCTAAACTGTGTCAGGGAGATCTCAGGGACCAGTGCCAGTCCATAGACTTGTTGTTGAGAAACACTGCTCTAAGGGTACGTCTAAGTGTTCGATGTATCGGGGATCGATTTATCGCGTCTCGGCTGGACACAATAAATCGATCCGCTAATCGACGCCTGTACTCCACCTCGGCAGGAGGAGTAAGCAGAGTCGACGGGGGAGCCGCAGCAGTCGACTAGCCACCGTGAGGACGGCCAGGTAAGTCGAACTAAGATACTTCAACTTCAGCTACGTGAATAGCGTAGCTGAAGTTGCGTACCTTAGTTCGATCCCCCTGCTAGTGTAGCCCAGGCCTAAATCACACACACAAATGGAGCTAACTGCCTTTTTATTCTTTCTCTGTCCCTTCCTTCATTTTATACTGGAATTTTCTTTCCCAATTCCCTTCTTCTCCTGTCTCTTCCCCATACAGAGACATCATACGACAGAGTTCCCCTTCCTCATGGTAGTACTGAGAGAAGCCCATGTAACACCTGACAGTCCTGGTTAGGGCCCAAATAGCATATGCACTTTTCTGTCGCTCCCAGTGATCAGCTAGGGATGGAAGGGAGCTGTCACAGCTCCCAAACAGCTGATCAATGGGAGAGGGAAACACTGCTGTGTATATGCTATTCAGAACCTGATCAGGGCTGTCATGGCTCACAAAGAGAAAGTCTGGAGCAGGGCCGCCCAGAAGGGGGGGCAAGTGGGGCAAGTTGCCCCAGGCCCCGCGGGGAGAGTTTTCAGGGGCCCCCATGAGAGTTTTCGGCGGGTCTTCGGCGGCAGGTCCTTCAGTGCTGCCGAACACACCCAGAGTGAGTGAAGGACCCGCTGCCGAAGACTCAGAGCCTCTTCTGCTCCAGGTCTTCGCCGCAAATTTGGTGGCGAGGGCTCCTTCCGCTCCAGGTCTTCAGCAGCAGTTCAGAGGCGGGTCTTCTTCACTCGCTCCGGGACCTGCCGACGAAGTGCCCCGAAGACCCAGAGCGGAAGGACCCCCGCCGCCGAAGACCCCAGGCCCCCTGAATCCTCTGGGTGCCCCTGGTGTGTGTGTGTGGTGGGGGGAACAAGCTCCTTCATAAGTGCTGATGGCCTCTGGCCAGGCTGTTCCCCAGTCAGTATATTTTTTGCTACATCTTGATAAATGGAGGCAGAAAGAGGTGAGGTACTTACTCAAGGTCACATAAGGAGTCAGTGGCAGAGCGGGGAATAGAAAACAAGTTTTATCACCTATTCTCCTGTTCCAACCTCTATCAGGTTGTCTGTAAACATGGTTTTCATGGCACGTGCTTTGCAAATGAGTCCACCTCCTAACCATGGGCTTATATCCTTGTATCAATGTCTAGCTCTGGTTCTCTTTCTGAGCTTATTTTGAAACTGTTTTCCTGTTTGAGGCTCTTTGGTTCTTCCTTTCTCTTGGATCCAGATAGCCTTTTGGGGCAAGTTGGGAGGTGCTGAACCCAAGAAGAGGTGCAGAACTTGGTGCCTATCCCAAATGGAAGACCGTAGACTTCCAAAACGCGCGCCTCGTCACACTCCTCCTGGCAGGTCTCTTTCCATGCTAAGAGTCCTCGCTCTTCCTGGCTTCCTACCAAAAGGAAGTGAGAGGAAAGTTACTGAGGAACCATTAACACAGACTTAAGCACATATTTAGCGCAGTTCCCTAATTACACACAGTTCTGGTATCGTACTACTCCCAGCCTAGTCTCTCAGTGCAATACGATATATTGATACTTTACACTTCACTAGCTCTTCCTATGTTCAAAGCATTCAACAAACATTAACTAACACTATTAGAAGATACTTTTCTTCCTGATACAACAGCATTGTAAGCTGGATTCTCCATTGATTACAATGTGGATCTGTCACATGCCAGGCATGTTGTCTACAGTTAAAATAATCCCTTTTAAAACTAGCCTGAGTGCACATTTCCTCTCCCCATGTCCCCAGCTCCCCCCTTAAGCTTGCTCAAAACAGAAACCTTTCTGTTATCAGTAGACATTACAGCCTATCTTGCCAGGGCTTTGCGCACAGTAGGTATTTTTCCTAACATGTCCCACCATTTCCAGTGTAAACCCCTAGTGGGTGTGTGTTACAGGTCCTCCCTTGTGTTGGTGTACAGAGAATATGAGTTGTCACAGCCTCCTCGCTGTGGAGGTTTGACTCTTTAGCTCAAGCTGTAGCAGCTCATGCTTTTAACTCTGGAGGTCCCTGGTGTGTCCGGCAAGATGGCAGCCATGATCACACTACCCCCAGCTCTGCCTCAGATGGCTGTCGGCATTTTAAATGCCAGCCGCACCTGGCGCCCTACACGAGCACTCCCACCGTTACTCCCACCAGTGGAGCTTAATTGTTGGTGATTACGGTGGGAGACTGTAGGAAGCAGAGCGCTAGACCGCTACAGCTGATCAGACCTGGAATCGTGTTATCAAGGATAAATGCCAGGAATCCACCCACAAACATGCCAGTGGTGAGGAGCACTCGGATCACTTGGTCTAGCTGGAGAATTCCTGAAAGAAAAACAAAACCTCATTATGGGACCCAAAGACACACATTTGACCAACAATAGAACCAACGACAATCTGCCACAAGTCACTCACTCGCCAAGGAGAGACATGCAGCTCAACAGCAGAAAATACCATGCTCTCTTCCAAACCAGGGCATGAGATTTTGCTGCTTTACAATTTAAAATAGCTTCATCCTGCTGATAGTTTCATGTGTATGTTTTTAGTCCATGTTACTAATTTATATAATGGCCAGAGCATACAAGGTGACTTACTAATTCATAAAAAGACACTTGTAAGATCTTGGGGGCAGACACATTAACTGCAACAGACACAATGTGTGGGCTAACAGTTCAAGGACAAGAATGGGACTAGAGTCACCCTCTTGTAATCAGCAAGAGGTTCTGGCCCTTTGTTTTTCCAAAGGCAGTATTTTACAGCAGGGAGTTAGCCACAAGGATGTTCCAAAGACAGAGATTCCAATCAGAATTCAGCCATGATAATAAGCCAGTTCTTCCTCTTACTAATTGCTTCTCACACTGGAGTATTCCAAAAGGAATGGGAGCCATGGATTCCTTGCATTGCAAAGTCTGTATTTGTTAACATGTATTCATTTAGCAGTGAGAGATTGCTACATCTTAAAGATTCCTTACAATGAAAGTGCTACAGCAGCACATCCAGAAGGCAGGATTGCCAGCCGCTAGGCGACTTTCATGGGTTTAACCCATAACATTTGTAGTCTGCGTTTCAGGTGACTTCTCTGTATCAGTATTGACTTTAGTTTCATATTTGGGAGGATGGTCCCAATAAATGAGGATGCTCATTTTTACCTGTTTCTAGCACTTGAGAATTTTTGTTTACCCAGTTGGGAATTGCCAGACCCGCATATATAGAAAATCCAAAGATAAACAGGTTTCTTGAGGAGTTCATGTCCACATACTGTACAGAAAGATTACATATGTTAATACATACTGCTCAAGACGATCAAAATCTATAAACTGCTTGGACCTGCTGATGAATCCTTGTACCCGCATACACATATGCAGTGACAGTTACTAGGGTCAGAATTTCATACGCTATTGCAGAAACAGCTGTTTAAAGTAGAACTGAAATTAACAAATGTATACAGAAATACACTGATATACACAGAGCCATGTCATCAGCTGGCATTTATTAGTACTGAATCAGAACTCTAGGGCTGGAAGGGACCTTGGGAAGTCATCAAGTCTAGTCCCCTGTGCTGAGGCAGGACCAAGTAAACCTAGACCATCCCTGACAGGCATTTGTCTAGCCTGTTAAAACCTCCAGTGATGGGGATTCCATAACCCCCCTTGGTAACCTATTCCAGTGCTTAACGACCCTTAGAGTTAGAAAGTTTTTCCTAATATCTAACCTGAATGTCCCTTGCAGCTGATTAAGTCCATTACCGCTTGTACTCCCTTCAGTGGACATGGAGAACAATTTATCACTGTCCTCTTTATAACAGCCCTTAACGTATTTGAAGGTTGTTATCAGGGCCCCCCTCAATCTTTGTTCCTCAAGACTAAAGATGTCCAGTTTTTTTGTTTTGGGTTTTTTAGTCTTTCCTCATAGGTCAGGTTTTCTAAACCTTTTATCATTTTTGTTGCTCTCCTCTAGACTCTTTCCAGTTGGTCCACATCTTTCCTAAAGTGTGGCACCCAGAATTGGACACTGCTCCAGCTAAGGCCTCACCTGTGCTGAGTAGAGCAGGGCTGTTATCTCCCTTGTCTTACGTACAACACTCCTGTTACTACAGTGCAGAATGATATTAAACTTTTTAGTAACTACACCACATTGTTGACTCATATTCAATTTGCAATCCACTGTAACCCCCAGACTGTTCTCAGCAGGACTACCACTTAGCCAGTTATTCCTCATTCTGTAGCTGTCCATTTGATTTTTCCTTCCTAAGTGAAGTACTTTGCATTTGTCTTTATTTAATTTCATCTTGTTGATTTCTGACCAATTCTCCAATTTGTGTAGGTTGTTTTGAATTCTAATTCTGTCCTCCAAAGTGCTTGCAACGATGCTGAGCTTGGTGTCACCTGCAAGTTTGATAAGCACACTCTCCATTCCGTTGTCCAAGTCATTAATGAAAATACTGACTAGTATTGGACCCAAGATTGACCGCTGTGGGAACCCAGCTAGATACATCCTCCCAGGTCAACAGCAAACCATTGATAGCTATTGTTTGAGTATAGTCTTTCAAGTGGTGGTGCACCCACTTTATAGTAGTTTCATCTAGAGCACTTTTCCCTAGTTTGCTTATGAGAATGTCAGGTGGGACTGTACCAAAAGCCTTACTAGCATCAGGATATATGATTCCAGTGGAACTAATGGAGTTAACCAGAAAAAAAATAGGTCAAGACAGCAGCAATCCAGACTTCCCTCCTCCCTACACCAATGTGCTTCAAATCAACCAGTCAGGAAAGACTGCCTCTGGGGTGACAGTAGGGATCACCAGTAGTGTAACCATGCCACTGTAACTTTGACATCACTGGCCAATTAGGCCTGGTCTTCACTAAGCCCCCACTTCAGACTAAGGGTACGTCTTCACTTACCGGAGGGTCCGGCGGCAGGCAATCGATGTTCTGGGATCGATTTATCGCGTCTGGTTAAGACGCGATAAATCGATCCCGGATTGATCCCGGAAGTGCTCGCCGTCGACGCCGGTACTCCAGCTCGGCGAGAGGAGTACGCGGCATCGACGGGGGAGCCTCCCTGCCACGTCTGGACCCGGGGTAAGTTCGGACTAAGGTACTTCGAATTCAGCTACGTTATTAACGTAGCTGAATTTGCGTACCTTATGCCTGGTCTTCACTAAGCCCCCACTTCGGACTAAGGTACGCAAATTCAGCTACGTTAATAACATAGCTGAATTCGAAGTACCTTAGTCCGAACTTACCACGGGTCCAGATGCGGCAGGGAGGCTCCCCCATCGATGCCGCGTACTCCTCTCGCCGAGCTGGAGTACCGGCGTCGACGGCGAGCACTTCCGGGATCGATTTATTGCGTCTTAACCAGACGCGATAAATCGATCCCAGAACATCGATTGCCTGCCGCCGGACCCTCCGGTAAGTGAAGACGTACCCTTAAGTAGTACTGCAGTCCCACAACAAGTTAACCAGGGGACTCAGTTTCTGGTGACTCCACTACAGTTGAGCCTTCTTCTGGTCCATTCATTGGCCTCTTTGATGAAATTGCCAACATGACTGCTAACTAGTGTGAATTACAGCAGTGGTTTTTGTGATGAGGCACTTGTCTCAGTAAACAACTGCACTGAACAGGAACCTGACTGCAGACCAAAACTCTCTCTCAAGAGTATTTGGTCTTGTAAATTAAATCCTTTGAGGCCGTTACCTGCAAATTGGAAACTCCCACAGCAGTGATGATTCCAAACATCACAAGGAGCAGTCCTCCAATCAGGGGTGTTGGTATGCTGGCAAACACAGCGCCGATCTTCCCAAACATGCCTATCACAAGCAACACGCAGCCACCAGCAACGATCACTATTCTACTTCCTACCTGTGTCAAGAGGGACAGCACAGAATCACTGTAAAAAGTACACCGAACTGGAGGATGGAAGGCTGTAGAGATTGCATAGTCTGACCATGCCCAGATTTACAAATTAGTTTAGATCGTTCAATATCAGGTTAAATTCCAGGACTCAAACTGCAGCCTGAGAGGTTTTTACTGACATAGCCACCTCACAGGATCTGGTACACAAACTGCACGGTAATTGCAGATTTATAAAGAATACTGTATAATTAACACAACCTGGACTGAGAACAATCATGGATTTACCTTGTTGCATGAGATCCTTTAGCCTGGAAATACCCTACCACCGTCAGCCACTCTATCATGTAATAACAGTGAACCGTTACTGTTAGTTTGGGGCCATGCACAAAAAGATAATAAATAAATTACAGTGTTAATGACTTTTGCTGGAGGCTTTGCTATGACACCACTCTAAAAACTCCAAGGGCCAACTGGAACTTACGTTGTAACTGTTTATTTGTTTTTTTTTTTTAGTCTAGTTTCACATGAGCACAGAGCGATGCTTACGAATTGCTTCCAAACTTGGCGGCCAACTCTCCTCGCACTGAAGTTAATGGCCTTTGGAGAGCCATGTTTGGACGCTGGAGAGAGTGTCTGCTTTGATCTCTCTCTTTCAATGACAGATTGAGCATTTGTTAAAGAAAACTGGGTAGGTACTTTGGTTTGTCCATATACACCATAACCCAGATATATTAAGTGAGGAAGCAAGATTTCTCTCACTTTTCACTGGATAAAGCCAGGGAGATTCCTAGTCAGGCAATGCACCAAGCACTAAGAGTTTCTCCTCTCATGCATATCTGGCAAAGTATGTGAATAAGAAAGAAAAACAGAAACTGTGGAACAAACTTTAAAGATGTTCAGGAGAAGTGAATGGTTATGTAAATTAAGGGAGAAAGACTACCAAACCCTTGTTGGACCTTCAACTAAAAGTAGCATGTTGCTTCATGGAAAGTTTTAGAGAACCACACTAAGATGTGAAATGTTCATGTTTTAAGCAGAGGAATTATATAATCCTTGTTGACATTTTAAAATTAAATGAATCATTTTACTCCTCCCCTACTAATATGTGAAGAATTTCATGTTTCAGACAAGAGGGTTTTTTGGCTAATGATGTCGGCAAAACCAGTTTCAGGAACTATTATTGTCCCTTTTCAAACACCTTTTGGTGTGTGAGATATTAGTAAATCCATTCTGGGGAGGTGGTGATATGGTGTTTCAAAATAAAGCAATCCATATTTTTCTGTTCATCTTTCAATCTGATTTTTCTGTCCCCTGGTTTTAAGGCCGCAGTATTCTTTCCATTTAAAAACAAAAAAACACAAATCTATCTAAGTAAAGGCCCAAATAATTATTTATACTAGATGTGACACTGACAGACCAGCCAAGCCAACCTGTCTATGATCCATAATAACTTAACAGGAGGCCTTACAATTGTAATCAAGACAATCCACTTATGTATGGGTATCAAAGAAATGTTAATTAGGGTAGCAAGCCCCAACTCATTCACTTTGTATTGATAAGAATCCAAGGGTAGATGCTAAGTGTATACGTTTGTGTTTACCTATATCTTGTTAGAAGTATAACAATGTAAGCAATGTTTAACAATGTTAAGTCCCTTTCATATCTTAATTATATATGTGACTGTGTCCAAGTAACCTTAAGATCAAAGATGTGTAATACTGCAGGAAACTAATAATATTATCTACATTGTCTTCAGCTTAACTGGTTTCAGAGTAGCAGCCGTGTTAGTCTGTATCCGCAAAAAGAACAGGAGTACTTGTGGCACCTTAGAGACTAACAAATTTATTTGAGCATAAGCTTTCATGGGCTACAGCCCACTGCATTGGATGCATAGACTGGAACATACAGCAAGAAGATATTTATACATACAGAGAACATGAAAAGGTGGAAGTAGCCATACCAACTGTAAAAGGCCAATCAATTGAGATGAGCTATCATCAGCAGGAGAAAAAAACCAAAAACTTTTGAAGTGATAATCGAGATGACCCATAGAAGGTGTGAGGACACACCTGTCATAACTATAAAGGGAAAGGTAACAGCCCTCCTGTGTACAATACTATAAAATCCCTCCTGGCCAGAGACTCCAAAATCCTTTTACCTGTAAAGGGTTAAGAAGCTCAGGTAACCTGGCTGACATCTGACCCAAAGGACCAATAGGGGGACAAGATACTTTCAAATCTTGGTGGGGGGAAGGTTTTTTTTGTGCTCTTTGTCTTGGGGAGAGTTCGCTCTTGAGACTAAGAGGGACCAGACATCAATCCAGGCTCTCAAAATCTTTCTGAACAAGTCTCTCATATTTCAGACTTGTAAGTACAGCCAGGCAAGGCGTGTTAGTTTTATCTTTGTTTTCTCAACTTGTAAATGTACCTTTTACTAGGGTGTTTACCTCTGTTTGCTGTAACTTTGAACCTAAGGCTAGAGGGGGATCCTCTGGGCTCTTTAAGTCTGATTACCCTGTAAAGTTATTTTCCATCCTGATTTTACAGAGATGATTTTTACCTTTTTCTTTAATTAAAAGCCTTCTTTTTAAGAACCTGATTGATTTTTCCTTGTTTTAAGATCCAAGGGGTTTGGATCTGTATTCACAAGGGAATTGGTGAAGAGTCTCTCAAGGCTACCCAGGGAAGGGAATTAGCACATTGGGAGTGGTGGCAGTGGACCAGATCTAAGCTGGTAGTTAAGCTTAGAAGTTTTCACGCAGGCTGTACCCTACATCTGTACCCTAGAGTTCAGAGTGGGGAAGGAGCCTTGACAACACCATACAACATAAACACAAACCCAGGAACCTATCCTTGCAATAAAGCCCGATGCCAACTCTGTCCACATATCTATTCAAGTGACACCATCATAGGACCTAATCACATCAGCCACGCCATCAGGGGCTTGTTCACCTGCACATCTACCAATGTTATATATGCCATCATGTGCCAGCAATGCCCCTCTGCCATATACATTGGCCAAACCGGACAGTCTCTAAGCAAAAGAATAAATGGACACAAATCTGACATCAGGAATCATAACATTCAAAAACCAGTGGGAGAACACTTCAACCTCTCTAACCATTCAGTGACAGACTTGAAGGTGGCAATTTTGCAACAAAAAAACTTCAAAACAGACTCCAAAGAGAGACTGCTGAACATGAATTAATATGCAAATTAGATACAATTAACTTAGGTTTGAACAGAGACTGGGAATGGTTGGGTCATTACACTAATTGAATCTATTTCCTCATGTTAAGTATCCTCACACTCTCTATGGGTCATCTCGATTATCACTTCAAAAGTTTTTTTTTCTCCTGCTGATGATAGCTCAATTGATTGGTCTCTTACAGTTGGTATGGCTACTTCCACCTTTTCATGTTCTCTGTATGTATAAATATCTTCTTGCTGTATGTTCCAGTCTATGCATCCGAAGAAGTGGGCTGTAGCCCATGAAAGCTTATGTTCAAATAAATGTGTTAGTCTCTAAGGTGCCACAAGTACTCCTGTTCTTTCAGCTTAACTATCAATGCTATAATGAAGTACTGGCTAATTGCCTTATGTGAATGAATGCAACTAGTTTACCTGTGTATGCATAGGAAATAAGAGATTAGCTTCAAAGCAAAGAGCTGTATTGTCTATTTTTTCTCAGGGGAAGGCCCTGCTTTGCTTTGACAATTTCTGTGAGGAGTTTTGTCAGCCTGCTTAGAAGAGCTGTAAAGGAAAGCTTTGAGCCTGATCCTTTCATCTGTAATCTGCTTAAACTTTTAACAGGGAAAGTCGTAAGACAGAGATCTTCGCAATTATTATTTGGAATAGCCTGGAAAATGCATGGAAGGACTCTAGCCAGACTAACAGACTCTACATCTGGGCTGCTTATTGACTATAAACCTTTAAATTGATTCCAGAAAGACTATTACAAATTAATAGCCTCACCATCTCTCCTATGAAACAGACCTAAGGACTGTACACATATTTGTATGTATGTTGATCTTTTAACCATTTACAACTCTCTTCTTTCTTTTTCCTTTTATTATTAAACCTTTAGTTTTTAGTTACTAAAGGATTGGCATCAGCGTGATTATTGGGTAAGACCTGAGACTCATATTGACCTGGGGATAAATGTCCGGTCCTTTGGGATTGGTGAACCTCACATATGGTGAATCAGGTTTTCAGTAACCCTTCACTACAGGCGAGTCTCATCTTATGCGGGGGTTCCGTTCCGCGGTTAGTGCGTAAAGCGAAAACCGCGTATAATCAAAATTACATTGATAATTGGTGGGCGGAATGTACACTACATGTACAGTATTAAAATTGTTATTTTTCTCTTTTTTTTTGTTTTTGCCGACCGCTTAAAGCTGAAATTGCGCATGTTAAATGCTCGTAAGATGCAACAGACCTGTATATTACTTGGCTGTCTAGGTGGGAACCAAGGGATGGGATGCCTAAAGGGGACTGTTTACACCCTCTTGTTACCCAGTGTGCTACTGCAGAAGCTGTATTGTTACTAGCTTGGTGAATCCAAGTATAGAATAATCTACCAGTTTTAGGAACTGCCTGCCCTATTTCTTGCAGTCTGCCCTGAGTAAGGCACTCAGTCTGGCCCATCCACACACCCCAGTCACACTAGGATTATGGTGAAGCCTAATATTTTTAATATACTTAGGTGACATATTATACCGTGTATGAAGCTGACACCAAGGTCAACAATCTACTTCACTGGTGCCATGAGTTTGAGTGCTTGATTCCAAAGCCTGTTAACAGTCTGTTTCAATAGTGTCAGGGAAAGAAAAGAAAGCCCAATTATCTTGCTGAAGTGAATATTTTAATGGGGTGAAAACATGTCTAGTTTACTGTTTGTTTGCAAGGTGATTCTGAAGTCTTCATCAAGACTCTGAAATCCTATTTATGCTTTACAAGAAATATGGCTTGACACTGATGTCTTGTTTCTATATTGATTACTGAAAGATGTATTTCCTGTGAAATGATAAACACATAAAAACCAAAATTCAAAATATGCTTTAAGGGCCAGCTCCAACTCCCACAGACATCAATAGAGCTTTTCTACTGACTTCATAAAGATTTGGATCAGGCTCGAAATTAAAGGGGTCCCCAAATTTGTGAAACTGACTAACCTTACAAGAAATGGGATCCCAAAGGAAATTTCTGCCCTAACTCAGAAGGGCTGACATCACTGCACTGAAGCTAGATCATGGTTATGAAGAGAGGGAAAGTGGGCTACTTGATAATATTTTGAGTGTATTTTATATATTTTCAAATATGTTCATATCCCATATATAAGACGCATGCACAAATCACACATTTAATGAATCATTTAGCCAATGCATAGGAAACATCACTGCATTGACCATCTAGTAACAGTGTACACTGGGATACAGAGTAGACTGCTTCCATGCATGTGCCCACATATCAGCTATGCCGAAAAGAACCAGTAGCTGGTATCTGTGGAAATGACGATTCTTCATGGGGTTTATAAAATGCAGTGAAATAAACTAGTTTGTTACTGGCCAACTTCTGCCTCTACTTCCCCTATGCAGCTCCCCTGACAGCATTACATAATTTGTTCGTGAATGATTTAAGAGTGGTCACGACAGCCAGAGTTTTCTGATTGGCTGTCAGATGTATTAATCCCATAATATTCTGAATAACTCAGAGCTGACCGCTAAAGTGAAATATATCCACACAAATGAGTTTAAGAATGCAGTGTAGTTATAGCTGTGATGGTCCAAGGTGACACTTGGAGTACTTTTCCCTGACCTGAAGAAAAGCTCTGTGTAAGCTTGTCTCTCTCACCAGCAGAAGTTGGTCCAATAAAAGATATTACCTCACCCACCTTGTCACTCTATAAGAATGGGAGTAAAACAATTCAGAAAATATTGCCAGTTCAAAATGATTAAAAATGCTTAACCTTATGGCTTGACATTTGTAGTTATCAAGAAGTGTGCCACCTTTAATATCCCTGTCATTGCTTAGTTCTAAGTATCATGGAACATGAGCAGTTTTTAAAGACTATATATTGCTTATTTCCATTTTTTCCACAATATTTTTGTTGAATTTGGCTCTCAGGGAAAGTCCCAGATTGCCAGCCTCACAGCATGAAGGCCTCTCTTTATCCCCAGAAGGAGTGCAGAGCAGATAATCACCATGTATGCGTCTCATGTACCATCCCCAACAACATGCCTCCCCCAAACTGGAGCAACCCCCTGCCTCTAGGAATGGAACAATAGTTCAGGTCACGTGGCCCATTTGAGCCTTAATCTCCCTGAGAGCCAATTAGAAATGAATGTGGTATTGTTTTTTGTGATGAGGACATTTGTACTTGAGATGGACTGAGATCACTTCATAGACCCAGCAATAAGACATGTTGTAAATGTGTGTAATATATTTATTAAAACCACAAGTATAGCCACCCTTTGAAAACTATTGCATTTTTCCATACCAGTGACCTAACCCGGCGCAGCATTGCTGTGGGCTGGTGGCACTGCAGTAAATCTTACCCGGGTGATTCCCAGCGCTCCAACGTTCTCACTGTAAGAAGTGGTGCCATTCCCTGTTCCCCACGCCCCAGCCAGAAGACAGCCAATTCCCTCAACTCCAATTCCACGGTTGATAGCATGCTTCGGAGGGGGCGGGGCACCAGACAGTCGGGCGCAGGCATAGTAATCGCCTACTGACTCCACCATAGAGGAAATCACTCCAGCTATGATGCCAAATATCCCAGCCAAACTGATTGTTGGAACTCCCCATTGGCCTGCAATTAAAAAAAAAAAAAAAAAGAAAAGAAGTCAGATCACTGGGGCTAGTTTTGCTGTAAAATCCATTCAAGTAAATCACTAGTGACTTTTCTAAGTGTGGGCCCATGCTTCTAGGCCAGCCCTCCCTGAGCTTTACCATTTGGGTTCCACAGTGTCCTCATTTTCCACTATCATTCAAGATCCTTAAAACGCAAAAAGCATACACACAAAGCAACACTGGGAAAAACAATGAGAAGGAACAGTAAATAATCCGCAACATGCTACTACAACTATACCTGGGTATGGGAACCGGAACCAGGGTGCTTCGGACAGAACATCTCCTTTGATGTCAGTCCGAGCCAGATAGCCATAAACTGCGGAGTCCGAGGGGAAGGCATTGGAAACAGTGAGTGCAAAACATATCAGCCAAGTAATGGCGAGGCCAAGAAGAACCTAGACAGTCACAAAGTGCATTCTGATTAATGGCCATCCTCATTTTCTTTATAGAAGTACTCTGCCTCCCGGAGCACAGACAAACAAGGCCCTCATTGCATTCTGAAAGCGTATTCTCTTTTTTGTTCCCTCATTTGCTTGTTCATTCAATAAGATGAAGGTGACATGGCAGAGTGTCGTTCCCCCCCCACCCTTGCAGGTTTTTGTCTGGTTTAGAAGCTTCACTGGAGCAGTGGCTCTCAACCTTTCCAGACTACGGTAGCTGATTTGTCTTGCGTACTCCCAAGTTTCACCTCACTTAAAAACTACTTGTTTACAAAATCAGACATAAAAATACAAAAGTGTTGCAGCCACACTATTACTGACAAATTGCTGACTTTCTCATTTTTACCATCTAATTATAAAATAAATCCATTGGAATATAAATATTGTCCTTACATTTCAAGTGTATAGTATTGAGAGCAATATAAACAAGTCATTGTCTGTATGAAATTTTAGTTTGCACTGATTTAGCTAGTGCTTTTTATGTAGCCTGTTGTAAAACTAGGCAAATATCTAGATGAGTTGATGTACCCCTTGGAAGACCTCCACGTACCCCCAGGGGTACATTAACCCCAGGTTGAGAACCACTGCACTGGAGAATCCAATTTTCCCTGTTATCCAGAAAGTTTTATTGGAAGCAGCTGTGAATATTGACAAGCAATTACTAGCCAGGCTTACCATCTTCAGCTTGGAACAGACTCCCAGAATCCTTAGCTACACTGCAGTGCATTACATCATTACTCAGACTTGGTAAAAACATCAGTCTTGTGAGCACGGTCATGGCAATGAACTGCTGCTGACTATTGTTTTAGAAAGAAATAGAACTGCCCTTGGTTTGTGGTACAGACCAGTCGGGATCATCAGTTACTGGTAAGGGTCAGTGTCCACAGTATGGTGACCAGATATCCTGAGTCAAGAAGTAGGAAGCACCTATTTTCACTATGCATGGTTGCAAAGATGGCCCTATCTTTGGGCACTTACACAGCCAGGATAAAAACACCTGCGCTTTGGGGGAATTCTACCACAAAAATGAGTTTCTAACAGACTAAACCAAATACAAAACATAGTAGGAACCTAACTGTGAAGCTCTTACTCCCAATGGGGAGCAGTTACTCACCCAAGTAATCTCACTGACTCCAGTGGAAGTGAATGGGAATAGGATTATTTGGGTGTCTAAACTGAACATCATTTAGTCCAGTTCTCGTAAAAGTGGATCATCTGGTCACCCAAGTCCAAAAATGATAACTCACGGGGAAGATCTGGAAGAGGTAGACCTTAGAGAAGTGGCACTTCCTGGATCCTTGGTAAGATGGCAGTGGCACAGGCACATTTTTCAGGTACTGAGAGAACAGAACTATGAAGAAAATGGTCCTGGAATGAGACAAGAAAAAGAGAGAGATTATCTGGGCAAAAGAACAACTGCTTCATTCACTTTATCCCACTCGGAGGACCCGACTTTCAGAAATTCTGAGCATCTTCAGCTCCAACTGATTTCAAAGCACCTCTGACAATAAGGCTCTAAGCGCATGTCTGCACTGGAGCTCAAACTGTGTCAATCCCAGCTCAAGAAGACACTGAGCCATTTGAGCGAGCACACTAAAAACAGATGTGTAGTGCTGCAGTGGTGTGAGCAGTGGGAGAGGCTAGCTGCCTGAATACATACCTAGGATCTCAGACAGGATCTTACGTGAGGTGGCTAGCCCCTCCCACCGCTGCACCACCATGACTACACTTCTATTTTTAGCATGGATATGTCACCTTGAGATGTAATTTATACCATCCACCCCAGTGTGGACATACTCTTAGTGTCATGGGAAGACACATACCAAAGTTGAGATTGAACCAAGCCTTTGGTTATATTTTAAATATGGTTTTGTTGAGGGTTTTTTTTCAATTCTGATTTTTTTTGCCTCAAAAACCAGCCAAACATAATTACATACTATGAACCACTGAGTATGACACATCTGCCAGAAGCTTAAATGTGATGTTGAATAGAATAGAGGCAGAATAGAGAGATCAGTTATGTCCAGGCAGGCTGTATAGGAAACTATTCTTGGGCGCCACTATTTTCACTATTAGTTTCATGATTTAAAGTTTATTCAATGTCAATTTTTTTTAAATGGCAAAGTGAACCCATATGGAAAGGAGAAAAGGATCAGTCAAGAGAGAAATCTCAGGCTTGCAGTTTCCCACCACATGCAGGTATGGCCCACTTCTGACATCACATCCAGATGGTCCAATAATACCTGTTCAAGTTCTTGTTTTGAAAGAAACACAAGAATGAAAACCAAGTGTCCGTATGCTCTACCCAGTTACCGCTTTTCTTCAGCGAGTGAGTTTAGTTTGATTTCCCATTTTTAGGTCTATATTTGTGACTACTGAATGGGGTCTGCCCATTTATAGATGTTTTCTGCGGTGTGACCTGCACTGCTGGATTTATGTAGCTAATTCTCCAATGGGGCATACAACCCTGCAGGCCATAGCTCTCCCAATTAGATGAGAATGAACAAACAAAGATATTTATCAAACAGATGCTGAGCAGATGGGATACGCTGGTAGACAGATGAAGACATTCTGTTACTATGTGTTAGTTAAACCTTTGAAGAGTCATGCAGTTTTTTATACCCAAATGTAATGTATTTAAAATTAAGGGATTATTCTAGATAGGAATCGGTGGGGAGTTGGTAACATTACCTGGCCCCAGCACTAGCACCTGCTGCAGTTGAATTATTGAGGTGCTATTAGGACCTGCAGCTGTGATGCAGCAGCATCAAATGCTGGCCTGGAAGGGAATAGCCAAAGGGACAGTAGCTTAAGCTGCGGCAGGGGCTCAGATGATGGTGGAAGGAGAGGCAGTTGAGACAAGCTGTTGGAGAAGAAGAAAAATCTAGCTACTGAGTTAGCAGATGAACTGGAGCTCGGTAGGAGATGAGGTGATAAAATAAGAGAACAGGAGAATAGAAGTAGGGGATTTGGAAATGAGAAGAAGTAAAACTAGGAGAGGTTTCTCAAGTCAGTAGAAGCAGAAAAAAATTGAACTGGGTAAGCGAGTGCCACTCTTAGAAATGGGAAGTAGTGGGAAATAAAATCTACAGCCGTACTGGAGAGAGTGACTCAAGGGAAAGAACTGAAAGGAAATATAACTGGTGGAACAGGGAATTGATCAGAAGCTGTGTTAGATTAAAAAGATCCTGAAAACAGTACACGAGAAGCCCACCCACAAAGGAGCTAAAGTAAATGAACAGAGAGAAGGACTGTTTGAACATCTATTGAAGGAACAGAGGTCAAAGGCACCTACTGGACAAGTGAGGGCTACTAGGTGAAGAAACCCCTCTTGTAGAAAAACTCAGCGAAGAGAGGGACAGCCCCAGGAACATTGAATCTAAGGAGCACTTCAAGCCAAAGAGACACAAAGGATAGGACAGCAGGAGTGGAGCTGGACTTAGAACCAAGGAGAGGATAAGTTGATTCTTTGCTGAAATGACACAGTATATTAAGTAATTTCCTTTATTCTTGGTAATAACAATGCATTTGTTATTAACTGCACAAAGGAAGAGTAGCGTGTACAAGCTTGCAAAGCTTAATGTATTGGTAACTTATAGTTTATTAATATAAGAAGTCAGTACTCAGTAATATTCTATATTATTTATGCTTCTGCTATAATCTTTGTGTTTCCCTTATAAAGTTCTAAAAATTCAAAATTCTCTCTTTTGTCTTGGTTTGCCTCCACACAGTTGGCACAGCCTAGTTTAGTCTGGGTCACTGCAATAAATGTAATAATGTTCTAAGCACTATGAAGTGCGCGGATGTAATGAGATGAAGAGGTTTTCTAAGAGATAAAACGTGTAGAGAAAACACTCAAGATAAGGAAGATATTTAAAGCACATATAGGAACCACTATACTTGTTACCATACAGAAATATGCCATGACACAGTCAGAGCATTGAATAACTGGTTAGGCATGAAAAGCTCTCACAGACAGTGGTTTCTTTTTCCCAATTTCTAAAGCTACAGAACCCAACATATCTGCCCTTTTGTTCATGGACTTCTTTTGTGCACTTGAACCAATGAAGATTGCTGGCAGGTTTATGAATTGTTTGAAAAATGGTATTTTAGGTGGGGCTGGTAGTACTTCCTGTTAAGGTTACCCAACACCTCCTATTATTAGACTGGCCAAGTTTTATAAGCAACTGAAAACAACCTACAGTCATTCAGGCTGAAGTTTTGCATGATGGTTGTCAGACTCAGGATGCCTATGTTTGAAAAATTTCAGCCAAAACAGATCAGCCATTTCCAAGAATGAGGCTAGGGAAACTTAAGTTGTTTTACCCATAGTAAAAAGTTCTGAAGACCTTTTCTTTGAACAACTCTAGCACAACCATGCTTTGGAGCAGGGACTTGAAATTTGGCCTTTGGGTCAGGAATGTGCCTTTTGCCGTCCTGTGAAAATCTACCCAAATGTAGCCAAGTTATTAGCCTTTGGGGGGAAAAGATTACAGTCTGCATATGCTCATTAGAAAATTATTTGATTATATCCTCACTGAGCATGCTCCAGCCTCTCTCAGCTCTTAGTGCTGACCCAACAGCATATACACCATTCCCACAGAGCAGGCTTTCACCTAGGCATACAGGGACAAAGATAGACTTGTCCTGAAAGGATGCTCCCAGCTGCTCTGGGCCAGGGTGAAACTGGGCACCAGATTGGAGAGAAGGGAGCCTGTCTCTCCTGTACTCTCAGTGATCACACCCCGCACCGGCATTCAGGCACTGTGGAGGAGGAAGCCATCTGATGCGATTGTAGAGGGGACAAGAGCCATACCTGGGGACAGAAGTGAAAGTAAGCGGGTACGGTCCGGTACAGCATACTTGCAAGAGCCGGTACGGCGTGCCAGACCCGACCGGCTTCCCCAGGCTGGAGATTTAAAGGGCCCGGGGCTCCCTTCAGGGCCGGAGCCCCGGGCCCTTTAAATTGCCTCCCGAGCCCCACTGCCGTAGCCCTGGGGTAGCAGCAGCGGGCCTCAGGTGGCGCTTTAAAGGGCCCAGGGCTCCCTGCAGCAGCCGGAGCCCCTGGCCCTTTAAATCCCCATGGGAGCCCTGCTGCCACTACTCCAGGGCTCCGGTAGCTGGGCTCAGGCGGCTATTTAAAGGGTCCGGGGCTCCTGCCACTGCGGGGAGCTCTGGCCCTTTAAAGCACCACCCGAGCCCTGCTGCCGCTACCCCGGGGCTCCGGTAGCGGGGCTCCAACGGCGATTTAAAGGGCCCGGAGCTCTGCTGCGGTAGCAGCGGCCAGAGCCCCAGGCCCTTTAAATTGCCCCTGAGCCTCTGCATCTGATAGCTCTGGGAGTGATTTAAAGGCCCCGGGGCTCGCAGCCACAACCTCTTCTGGTTGAGGCCATGTCTCTGCCCAGGACTCTGGCGTACTGGTAAGTCCTTTAACTTACTTTCACCCCTGCCTGGGGGGAGGGAAAGGAGTAGATTGGGACAAGGGGGTCTAGTGAGACTGACACTAGGGGGTGGTTGGTAGACTGGGAGCCAGTTAGGGAAACAGAGGAAGGAATAGGAGCTAGTTGGCTTGGAGGAAGGGGCAGGAAGACCAAAAAGAAACTAGGAATTGGAGGGAGGTTGGGATTGGCAGGACAAGGAGACTGGGGCTAGGAATGTGGTGGAGGGAACTGGGGTGGCGGGGGAGGGAACGGGACAGATCTAACAAGGATCTGGGCTGTGCAGGGAGAACTAGGACTGGCTGGACAAAGACTGGGACAAGGATGGGGAGGAGGTATGGGCAGGACAGACTGGATGAGGACCCTGGGGAGATAAACTAGGACAGAGCCAGTCTGTGCACATGAGGGAGAGAGACAAAGAACCAGGAGTGAGGGGACTAAGACTAGCTAGGCAAGGAGTCTGGGCCTGGGATGAGAATCCTGAGGAGTGGCGCCTGGTACTGGCTAGGTGAATGGGACGGAGACAAGGAGCCAGGGGTGGGGAAGAGACAGGGACAGGTTGATGGGGACAGGGCAGAATATTAAAACATTAAGATTGTAAATTTAAGCATTTAGAAGTTAGGAAACCCCAGCAGTAAGGCTGCCTGTGCAACCTTAATTCAGCCCCTTAGTGCATATACGTTATGATACAGCCTATAGTCACATGATCACATGCTCTTTTTTTTCCATAGGACCCCAGCCGCATTCAGTGCACAGAGTGGACCTGTTCTGGGGATGAATCAAGGCTGTTGTCTGTAGGACCCCCTTCTACAATGGCTGCACAAGTTGGAAGGTGTAGATCTGGGACAGGTGGGTCTCGACCTGCCCAAAGCTAAAGACCTCCCCCCCGAGCTAAGGGGGAGGCGCCGCTAAGCCCAAGCTACAAATGAG